GGGCTTATCCAGGCCATAGCACCAGACTGCTTACAGCCACAAGTAGACCGACTTTAAGCAGGAGAAACCGTGGAGAAACCAGAGGCAGGGAGGATGGAGGAGGCACTGGGGGAAGGGGATTCTGAAGAAATGGTCCTGCGTGCTGTAAATGAGTAGAGGGGAAAGGTGGGGGGTATAACGGGGACTTCTTGAAGCTAGGGACCTACCTTAACCCAATATCTTGAAAAACTCTGCCTAAGTAAGCTCCGGGTCCCCCTCCTTTCCAGAGCATCCACCTTACTGGGTACACGCACAGCGGGCCGTGGAGGGAGAAGGGGAAGGCGAGGCAGCCGCTGGGAAACCTGCCAAACTGCTCACCGGGCCAAGCCAGGGGGTGGGAGAGCCTTTGGGGGAGGGGGGCAGTCCACACAGGGAATAAATTGCCCCAAGAAAGGAGGTGCTGTCTGTGACTGATCCTGCAGGAGAGGAGCGGTTGCAGGGGGAGCCATGGACTTGAACATGCGCACTGAGGCGCCTCAGAGGGACATCCTACCCACCCGCCTGATTGACAGAGGTGAGAGCGGAGAGCCAGGCAGGCACCAAGGCAAAATGGAGAAAAACGTTTAGATGGGTGTTTAGAGTGTCTTCCCCTTTACACTGCTGTGTGTTGAGACTCCGGATCTCAGTACCCGTGCCCTGGAGCACCAGAGGAGGGAGAAAGCATGCAGGTGGCCACCGCTACTCTCCCTCACCGCCTGATGGCAGTTCTGGGACCTTGGAAATTCACCCCCAAAGAAGGGGAGGGGGGAAACTGAGCCTGCTGTGCCCTCGACCGGCCACCAGGTGACACTGGCGAGTCTGTCTCAGAGGTGGAGCCCAATTTGCAAATACTGGAAGAGGCTTCTGGGTGATTTCCCGGGGCTCCGCCCCTTCCTCCCTATTTCTCAGGGAGCTCCGCCCTGCGGGTGGAATCGATTGGGCGGCTGTCCACACTGGTCACAGATGGCCGGGCGGGGCTGGCAAATTGTACCCTCAGTGTGAACACTGCTCCCTTGGGGCCCCAGGCCTCTTGTTGCAAGTGGACAAGTCAGGGCTGCAGGACAGGACTGCACCCACAGAATCTATCTTGGGGCTTGGACTCCCCCTTCTTGGCC